TACACCCATGTCATGCAATGCCTCCAAAGGTCAGAAGAGGGTGTTGGATCCCCTGGAACTGGAGCTTCAGGCCATTGTTAACTGCCATGTAAGTGCTAGGAACCAAACCCAGGTCCTCTGCAAGGGTAGCCAGTGTGCTTAACCACTGAGACATCTCTCCAGCCACTGGTAAATATATTTTAAAGACATGAAATGTCCTGAAATTCTGAAGAGTATATGTGCAAGTAAAATTTTCTTTGTGCTGTAGATGAAAACAGTACAATTCATGAGCTGTTAGTATAATCAAGAGCCTTTCAGGCACAGAGAATTTTTAAAACCTTAAAAAACAATTAGCGCCGGGTGTGGTAGTGCATGCCTTTAATCCTAGCACTCAGGAGGCAGAGGCAGGCAGATCTCTGTGAGTTCAAGGCCAGCCTGGTCTACATAGTGAGTTCCAGGACAGTTTGGACTACAGGGAGACCCTGTCTCAAAAAGACCAAAAAAAAAAACCAAAAAACCAGTTAGCAGTAGCTGGGCATGGTGGTGCACACCTTTAGTCCCAGCACTGCAGAGATAGGCAGATCTCTAAGTTCAAGGCCAACCTATTCTACTTAGTGAGCTCCAGGCCAGCAGGGACTATAGGGAGACCCAAAAAGGCAAAAACAAAAAAAAAAACCCAGCAGCATAAATTGAACATTGCCAGGAAGTTTAAATACTATCCTAAAAAATATGAGAAGATTTTGGTACAAAGACATACTTTGTTCCATGTGCTTTCTGGGTATTCTTTTATGTAGCTCAGGACTTTTCCTAACACTGTTTTTTCTCCTTTCAGTTCCTCGTCTCCTCATTATGAAAGACATGGTGAGGCGCCTGCAGGAGCTGCGGCACACAGAGCAGGTGCAGAGAGCCTATGCACTGAATTGTGGCGAGGGTGCCACTGTCAGCTATGAGATCCAGATTCGAGTGCTGAGAGAATTTGGCCTTGCAGATGCTGCTGCAGAGCTCTTGCAGGTAGGACACAGTACTGAGCTGTAGAAAGGATGTTACCTTGAACATCAGCCAAGCACTGTGTTGCCCAAGGAGCCCTCGGCTACTGCTTTTTCTTCCTACTTGTTCTTTCACTACTCTGGTGTCTTTAATAGCCTGGGAGTTTCTCTTAGTGAAAGGCAGTGTGGTGGAGCACAGAACTGGCTCTGCTGCTTCCTAATCCATTAATTAGATCAAGTTAACTTAACCACAGGTTCTCTGTAATTAAGTAGTAGAGCTACATAGTGAGACCTTGTCTCAAAAAGAAAAATAAGAAAAGGAAAAATCTTACCCATACAGTAAATTGGTGTGAAGATAGTACATTTATGTAAAACACTTAAAGTTTCTAGGTTATAACAAGCATCCAGTAGGTGACTGCTATAGAATTCTATGCCAGGAGAGATAGCAAAGGAAATAGAAATTCCAAACCTCACTACTGTAGTTTAGTCATTGGATTTCCAGTTCGGCCTCCTGTCATGTCTTAGGGATCTTTGGGTTTGTTGTTTCTTCTCTCCTTTCCCTTATGAGGTTTTTGTTTTGTTTTGTTTTGTTTTTGCTCTTTTTGATACAGGGTCTCCCTGTAGACCCAGCTGTCCTGGAACTCACTATGTAGACCAGGCTGGACTCGAACGCACAGAGATCGCCTGCCTCTGCCTCCCAAGTGCTGGGATTAAAGGTGCTTACCACCACACCTGGCTAAAAATAAATAATATTTTTTAAGTAAATAAATGAATAAATTTATGGAAGTAAGCTTTCTGCACCTATCAAAATCTTCATCCAGCTTACTACTGCATAGTATATAAGAAATGATGCTACATAGTTGCTTCAGATGGCACACACATAGATGCTATGTCAGAAACTAGGGGAAGATCCTTGGTCACATGCCTTTCTTCCTGGTTTTGATGTTAGTCTTATTTTCTATGTTTTTTTTTTAGCAGTAGGATCATGCCCTAAGCGAGGATAAACAAAGGACTGCAGTCTGCTCTGCACCAGACTGATTTAAGAACACCACCACCAATGAGGTGTCTCTTAGCCCATTGCCAAGGGGTTTCTTTTAAAATAATTCATGTTGTTTTATTTTGGTTTTGGGGGGTTTTTTTTGTTTGTTTTTTGAGGGGGAGTTGTTTTCTTTTGAGACAGGGTCGATGAAAAGTGTACACCACCATGTCTGGCTTAGTCTTACTTTCTTAGCAGTGGAATTTTTCAGGTAGGTTTTGCTACTGGTTTGGCTTTGTCACATGATCTTGCTAAGCAACCTGAGCAGCTTTGCCTTAGGCTGCACACTGTCCCTAGGTACAGGAAGGTTTTGTTTGTTTGTTTTCTATTTTTTTTTGAGACAGGGTCGATGAAAAGTGTACACCACCATGTCTGGCTTAGTCTTACTTTCTTAGCAGTGGAATTTTTCAGGTAGGTTTTGCTACTGGTTTGGCTTTGTCACATGATCTTGCTAAGCAACCTGAGCAGCTTTGCCTTAGGCTGCACACTGTCCCTAGGTACAGGAAGGTTTTGTTTGTTTGTTTTCTATTTTTTTTTAATTATTTATTTAATAACCATATATAGAAGAAACATTTCATTACAACAGCATTGACACATTCCATAACAATTTCCAGAGATAAGATACATCTCTTTCAAAATTGGCTGTAAATTTTTAGGTTTACAGTTGAATTAATAGAGTTATACAATATTGAACTCAGTATAAACCCTATAAGACATTTTTCACATATACTAATTATTAAGGAGCAAATGTTTATGCTTTGAAGAGTTATTTTTTTTCTTTTTTATTTATTTGTATACCCGCTTCCAAGGTAGCACCTTCCCATAGCCTCCCTCCCCCCATTAGAGCCCTTATACTTGGATATCCCTCCTACTGTCTGCTGTGTTGTCAGCACCCCCAGCCACTCCCCACTACTTGCCCTTCTGGTGAATCTAGTCAGCCTATCTAGAGGTCTTTGTTTTAGGAGGGTCAGCTGTTCCTCATCTAGCAGTAATCAGTTGTCTATATTCCTTTGGATAAGATTGGGGTCTCCTGCTCATTTTCCCAGATCTATGATGGGTTACTATCTGGGAGTCCCTTTGGCCACTGTGGCCAACAACTTGATAGAGGGTATCTCCTATCTGGCATTGTTGCTTGTTATGTAGCCTTTAGCTATGCATATGGACTCTTATGCAATTATGTTAGCCCATTTAATCTTTGGTTATACTTTCCTTTTGGGTGTTTAAGGCCATACAGTTGGTCCAGATAAAACCGATTTATTTTTACTCTTAAGGTCGTTTGAGGATCTGTTCCTCAGGGGTCACATGGGCTTAGGAGGAGCCCCTGGCTCCTTTCTTTTACCAGTTCTACCTATGTGAAGATAAGTCAAAGGTCCTGCTCGACTGTGGTTGACTTTGCTTGGAAGCATGGAGGAAATGATTCCTCTGTGTTGACTCTCCTTTTCATAGACTGGACACTAGTTCAAGTCCATCTTGTGGGGTCTCCTCAGCCTCCTTGATCAAGAGGACAGGTGACCCACCACCATTATAGGACGTTTTAAGAGATGCTCATAGTCCCCTGGAACTAGTCGACCAAGGAGGGCAAGTAGTAAAAAGTGTCCTTTATGTCCCTCTGACCAGATTATCATAGACCTTAAAGTATGTCTGTTAAACACCCAAGAAGGTTAGTTCCACCAGTCT